AATGTTTGTTGAGCAAGTAGGTATATTTTGTTTTTTACTGTCGTCCTTCGAGACATTTTCATCACATCATCCATACTTCTATGGGTGATGTGATCCATTCCACTTCATCCATCTATCCATTCTATGGGTACTGTCATCCATTCCACTTCTCTCCCGGCTTTTCCCTCGCCTTCTCTCGCTGGACCTCACCACAGTGTGAACAAAAGACATCAGACGCAGGGAGCGTGGAGACAAATGCACCCGTACAACGAACCAGAAAATAAACGCGATCTCAAAGTGTAACTTGGAACCGCTCTCGTGAACACGCACGCTGGAAGGAGTCGCCCAGCGTCGTTTCCTCGAACCGGAAGCATCGCCCCTCTATCTTCGAGTCCCTCTTATTTTCGTTTTATTTTCTTCCGTCTCCTCGCTTGCCTTTAATTGCGGCGACGAAACAGTAGCTGCGGCCGATGTTCTTCTTCTCGACTTTCTTCCTTTTCTTTTTTCTTGTGATCGTCGTCGTTGTTTTGGGTCGTTCTCTGCACGCGTTTCGGCTTCCGGAAGTTGTCTCCTACGGATCCGGAATTTCGAGAGCACCGGGTGCACGAAACAGAGACAGGGGAGTCACGTGACACGCTGACGGGCCGAGGAACACTTGTGAAGAGGAGGGGGAGGGAGAGGATGTGTGTATGTGTGTATGTGCGTGCGGGGGGGGGGGGGTGCGTGAGGCTGCAATTTGGGCGACGAAGTTTTCTCGCTCGATCTCTTGGATGCTTGCTTCCCCCCCAACAATGTGCGTTCCTGTGTTTGTTTTGACTTGCGAGCGAAAAACGACGAGACATTAAGGTTGCTTCCCCCGAATCGACGACGACGGCTTCTTTCCCTTTTTTCCCACGCTCTCTTCCTCCCTTTCCCTCTCTCTCCCTCTGCGTGAAAACTAAACAGAGCGAGAAACCTCTTGAAACCATCCAAACAAAAGTTGCTGTGGGAAAACAACAGACCAAGTTTAGTAGCAGAAAATGTTCTTTCCTTCCTTTTTTTTTAACTTTATTTCGAGAGACAGAAGCGAATTTTTCACCGGTAAGAGCGTTGCTGCCTGTGTGTGTGTGTTCGCAGATTTTTTTTTTTTTTTTTTTGGGGGGGGGGGGGGGGCGTAAAATAAAATGCGGAGACCATAAGGCGAGTGGCGATTATGATACTGCAAAAATGATAAAACGAAACAGGTCAACCAGAACCACATGGAACTTTCATTTTCCCGCGTGTCGTTTTTTATTTCTATTTTAGCGAGTTGTTTGTTGATTTGAGTATTTGTCACGGCGTAATCCCCCCTGCACACAGATGGCGGCATAACTTCTTTTGTATATACGTGTATTGAGATTTCCTTCTTTTTTTTTTGCGATTTACGCGTGACGTGCTGAAGCGTTGTTTGTGTTTGTCTTGCAACATGCATTGCAATCTTCACGCGCCTTTTCTTACTGGTGCGTGGGGTACTCCTCCAAAATTTAATTAACTCGAAGTTCGCTGCTGCTTGATACGACTCTCGCATTTTTCTCTGTGTGTGTGAGTGTGAGTCTGTGAGCTCGCGTGCGTGCCGATGACATGTTAATGAAAATGTTATTTTTTCTTTAGATCGTCTCCTCATAGACAGGTCGTAGGACAGGGTAGACCGCAATATATTTTGTTTTCATTGAAATGAATTGTTCTTTTTTATATAAGTGACCCAGAATATCTTCCTGGATAAGAGGAGGCATGTATCTTTATGTACAATCTTATCTAATTGAAACATACTCTGTAATAATTATGTGAACCTTTCCTAAGAGTAATAATTTGAAATGGAATCCCCTATAATAATAATAAAGAGTTTATTTACATCGTACGTTCATGGTAAATGAAGATCAATGAAGATGAAGAAAGTGAAGATCAGCTTGACAAGTCCTTAAGCTGAAAAAAAAACAAACGCATAATTAATTTCTTTGGGGTGGGTGGGGGGAGATGTGGAGTGAATTTGTAAATGTATATTCAGTTTGATACACTCGCAGCATCGACATTATTGCTGAGCCACTGGTTTATCGAATTGGCATCCTGTCAAAAAGGGAGAGGGGGAGGGGGGGGGGGGGCAGCCTGCTGCAGTGGTCCATATGCTAGGACGTCGGAGCCAGAGCCGTGTATACAGAGAGTTTGGTCAATGGGAGGCGCGGGCAGAGCCAGGGCGTGCGCCAGACTCGGAAAGAGGGCTTGGCATGCTCTCTTGACCAACCAGAAGCCGAAAAGATTCCCCTAGCGGTGGTAGCGAGAAACAGTTCTGATCCAAGGTTTATGTTCGTATATGGTTTTAATAAGCGCGTAAGAGTGAAGTGTAGTAACTCTTCGCGTTTGAAAATAGAGTGCTCATGAAGTTTCGATCACGATCATGCAGAAAGATGTAAGGAACGAACGCGCCGCTCGACTCTGTTTTGCGCGGACAGAGTGTGACCGCTCGGACGGCAGATTCCCGGCCCTCGGCGCTTGGCGTACGGGTTATGTCAATCGTTCCGGTAATCGCACTCTTCCACCATCATTTTGGATGGGCGTAATTGAAACGTCACGTGTACCTTATTTTCACTCACCGAGAGTTACTCCGATGCACTTATCAGACTTGTTTCTGGCGACCACCGCCAGGGAATTATTTCCGGCTTCTGGTTGGTCACATTCGAATTTCTGAAGACGCCCTGGAACACGCCCAGCCCGCTTTCGGCCAATGGCGCCTCCTTATTTGTCTCCTATACTTCCCAAGGAATGGCCCGACTCTGTACATGTACGGCTCTGGTCGGAGCGAAGTATACGCACGGACAGACGGCCAGTCTCAACTGCGTACGCTCGGCAGCTGTGCTCCGTTCCAGTCTAAGCTGACAGTGCGGCGGGAGCTACGCGCTCAGCGCACCAATCGATCGCCCTTCTCTTTCATCGCATTGACCCCGCTCTCCTCCGCGCCTGGGTATGAGCGGGAGCGTGGTGACGTGGCCTAGGATCGACGTATCACTGGTCCCGACGAGCACGCAGCTTCCAGCCCGTTGTCAGCTTAGAGGGGCAGCGGAGCACACGCCAACTGAACTCTGACGTCGCGCCCCTGCGGTGGGACGACGCATGCGCAAAGGCCTCGTCTCAGGCGAATGTGCTTTGTGCGCACGCGCAGCGCCCACTCGTGGTTGTGGATAAACGCGGGAGTGTTGGCCAACAGGACCGGCCTGCGTGGCAGTTAACTTTTGGTGCCACGAGCTGTTTTTGTCGTTGAGAGGGCGCTTTCACGAAACGCCTTTTCGCTTCCGGTACGCCGTGTGCGGCCATGCTGATGAACAGCTTCCGCCGTTTTTCCCTGTAGTTTTGCGGTATAGACGATCAGTTAGTTCTTGGAGTCGTTTCGGGTGCTGGTGACAGTAAGACGCTGAAGCGTGGCGAGTGGCTCCGTCGACGACGGGACTCTATAGGAACGCGATCGGGGACGTATTCCGGTCGCATTACTCGCGATTACTCGGTCTTTTTTTTTCCCCTTTCGGAATCGTCCCGGTGGTACTCGAGCCGACTGCTTGAGCACAGGCTTGTCTTAACAAAGGTCGAATGGAGGTTGGTGTTTGTACAAATCGAATATCACCCGGTTCGCCTTTACATCGCGGACTACTCCGGTAGGCGGTCAATAAATCCCGAACGCTGCCTTTGTACATAAAACAAATAGGACGAGCGTTCTCAGCTTGGATTCCGGTGAGATTTTGAGCCGGAGGTCATATCAAGCCTCCCTGTATCCGAGAGGGAGGACGGCAGGGACATAATAGGGAGTTTTAGTAAAACGTGTTTCCCCCTCCGCTAACCCTCCGCTACGAAGAAACCGTCACTGCGCCTGCGCGCCGATGGGCTTGGCTGTAGAGCTCCGGTTAGCGGAGGGGCTTAGCGGGGGGGGGGGGGGGGGGGGGGGGGGGGGAAACGCGGTCTACTGAAACTCGCTAATGTCACGTGTCTTGTGGATCAGTCTTCCCTCCCTTTCCCCGTTTTCCCTCGAGGTAACTTTAGTCACCGACAGAGTGAGAACGGCTTTAGTTGTCCCGCCTCCTCCAGAGCCTGCTTCTCACTTTCGACAACGGGCTTCTCGTGCACCTCGAGCGCGCGTGCGCTGCCAAGGCACGCGGAAGGCATGGCGCGGGTACGCTAGAAGCCGGGCGTTCGAAAGACGCGCCCTGCCGTTCTCACTCTATCAGTTGGCTCTGGTGTTCATTTTTTATTCTCACGGATTGCACGCAACGTAGACAGCGGCGGCATGGTTTTTGGCGTCAAGCGTGCGCTCTGTAACCAGAGCTCGTAACTGGTACCCATTCCTCCCTCTCCAATGAACACGGGCTGCAGTCTGGTTGTAGCGTGCCAGTTTGAAGAAAAATTTGACTGCAGTTTATAACCGGAGTGAGGCGTAGCTCGGCTGCCGCCGAACGCGTGTGCGTACCTGAAACGATGTCTGCTCTCAAACCGGCAATAGAGTGACTCTATGTGCCCGGTTACTCTAAAGTCGCGGCCGCACCGCTAAATACACCGTACAAAAGACAGTTTGCAGACTCTGTCCACATTTGTCCACAAGAGACGATCGTCAGACAGGGTCCACAAATGTGGACTCTGTCCACATTTGTTCGTACAAAAACTGTCCGGGGACACGATCGCGTGTCCGAAGACAATGCTATTTTTCTGTGTTGCAGCGAAAATCTCGTCTTTGGTGCGGTGTATACGAGCAGTACGGCTTGCCGCGTAACCGGCGGAATCCCAGGAGCGCCTCTATCCCGCGGAGGCGAACTGCGAGGGCGCCCCGCAGGCACGCGGGCTTCCTCCGACCGTTGGGCGAACCCGCGGCTCGTAGCCTTGGCTTTGTAGCTGCTGCTAGGTTGCACGCAATCCGTGGGGCCGAGTGTGTTCTTACTGATTTGCACGCGCTGAGCTGTGCTGCGAGAGCGGAGGTGCGAGAGCGGGCCCTCTAACCGCGTTGGCCTCTTGTGTGTGTATCTTTCTAGCGACCGTGTCGTCGTGCCGGTTCACGGACGACGACTGTGGTGGTGGTGGTGGTGGTGGTACTACTGGTACTGGTGGTGGCTCCACCTGGGGGGAGTCGAGGAGATCGCCCCCCAGTGAGTGCAGGCGCTCAGTTCGTATGCCTGTTCAACGCTGCTGCTCATGCTTGTCTGCGCATGCCGCTCGGATCGGTTGCATGCTTGGTGCCGCACTGCCTCTTACCTTTCTGTTTTTGCGATATGTCCGCGAAGAAATGTTGGCGGATACGCGTGTTTGGAGAAGCTGGTAAGAACACCTACCACAGTACGTGCCTGCCGATGTCACTGCAAATTGCGTACTATTACTTTTTTTTTTTTGGGGGGGGGGGGGGGGGGGGCGCCGGAAATGCACGCGCGGAATGGGTCCACTCGCGGTGCCGCTTGCCTGCATGCAGCGTGTTTGATGCACGTGAAACTGGACCAAAAGCATAACGCCCCGCTTATCTTCTTTTTTTTTTTTTCTCGTTTCACTTAACGGTATTTATCTTAGTTTGTGTGTTGGCTCTAGTCTTGGTGAAGTGTGTCCCCCAAACTCGGAGGTCGAACTCTCGATTGTATTCTTTTTCCCCCGGGGTTTTAGGTCGACAGCATACCGCAAAAACCCTACATTTTTTTTATTTTTTTAGAAATGTTTAGCTTTGTTGTGTGTGTACTATTCGAATTCGGCACTTTTGACGAAGTCTCCCTGGCCGGTCTCCATCTCGTCTTCCGGTTCAGCGATACATCCCAGTCTCTGGGGAGCAGTCTTCACGAAAGTTTCGAATAGCGTGTCTCTGAATACCGAAATTCCAGAGCGCTCGACTCCTGGCATCGATACCTTGTAACGCCCTGCAACACGGGGTGACTGGTAAGTGACGGAGTAGCGGCCTTACCTCAGAGCTGCGGTCGTGAACACAACACGGAGATTCCGGCGACGCTAGTCGCGTACACGAAGATCGACGTAACGTTACGCCGTCAGTATGTTGTTCTCTCAAAAAACGTTCAGCTGCAAACCTCGCGATCGAGTGTACTGTGGCTCAGCCGTCGACTGTATCTGCACCTGCCGCAAAGGCACGCACGCAGTTTTTACTTGCCGTTGACGCCAGCGCTACATGACAGCCCGCTGGTGAAGACAGCTGCCACGACGCGTTACGTTGTGCCATATGAAACGTATCGACTCCTTTAAAGGCAATAACACGGCCAGTTGCTACAAGTCACAACCCCTAGCACCGTCTGGCGCGCACAAAGGCGTATGCCACCAGCAGTTTGAGCAGTCGAGGAGATATGCGGTACACGGTTGCGGGTGAAACATTTCGTTCATCGTCAGCTGCCATATTGTTGACTTCGCTCGGTAAGTCGACGACGAGCTCGAAACTATGTTGGAACTAAACGGTGAGAAACTGGGCGTGAGTGGGGGACGAGAACCCGCGGCGACGCCGGAGCGCCTAGCCTCGAATGAAAGGAAAGTCGGCGGACGCAAAGGCCCAGGTGTTTTTTGTATCTACTCGCCACTGGAATGCGTTTGAACGCCGAACCTCGGCGTGTGGCGTGCTCCGACCACAGCCCCTCCATTCGTTCCGACAGGCAGTCGCGATAAGAGTTGAATTTCGGGCGAGCTGGTCAGGAAACATCATAATGTAAACCCTAAGGCGCGGCTGAAATTTTTTCTTTTACTTGGACGGCTATATGTTGCTGTTCTGTCGCGAATAGACGAAGCTGCGTTTGAGATTTCATGTCGTGTTGTCCGTTACTTTCTTTCTCCCTGGCTCGGGGTTTACATTATGACGAGATAAGAATTTCGGGGAGAACTCGCCGAAAACGTGAGTGCGGATTTGAGGACACCGGAAGTTTGTTCGTGTTGCGGCCGTGAAGTCTCTTTTCTGAGCGACAGTCCCGCAACGACGGTCTGCTCTCGACGATTCTCTCTCGCTTCCCGTGGACGTTCTTACGCTGTATCAAACGCGTTGTGTGCTGCCACGAGTTACCTATCATAATGACAGGTTACGTGCCAGAACGACGGCTAAACGTGGCCTTTCGCGAGCATCACGCAGCTGTGATAATGTGCAACAAATACGGGGCGATTCAGCGCTTAACCGCATCGAAAGTTGGCAGAGCTATCGTTGAGGCTCTCAGCGACAAGCGTGGCTGTACTTTGTCAGTTTGTTTAAGAAGTGCTCATCTGAGGTTTCAGATACAGCGCGAGTTGAGGCGAACACTGAAACGAGGTACCCCCACCCGTTACTCGGGCGAAAAGTGACAAAAATGCGTTACTGATTAGTTTTCCTAGCAACTACCGAAATCGTTACTTTCGTTACGGGAAAAAAAAAAAAAAAAAAAAAGAAAGTAGCTAAACACAAGTAACGCTTGCGTACACTGCGCAGCACCGTTAACGCGAACGCGCGATCGACGATGTTTGTTTTTCTCTTCAAATATGAAGACTGTTATGGAAACCACCAAATGCATGTGAAGCACTATTTGAGGACACTAATCTCAGGGGCAGATTGTAGTGCCAGGGCATATCCTTCCGAAGAAAAACGCCAGAAGGCGCCGATGTCCCGTTCGCCGATTTAGTCCAATGGAGAGGCGCTAGGCTGCACAACGCAACGCAACGCAATCGACGCGACTGTGTGAACGATCCTTTAATGCGTAGCGAGTGGCGCTGCTTCGGGAAGTGCAGGTGGCTGGATTATCCACCGCCGCACTCTGGAGGAAGGGATTTGCGGCCCATCTGTACTGTGTCTGTACGTGCGACGGGGGCTGCCGCTGTTGCCGGCGAGGCTAGCTCGCTAATGTAAAAGGGCGAACGCCTCGCGGAATAGCGGAATAGCCAAACCGGTCTCGGAGAAAGAGAGACGCAAGCGCACTCCGCCCCGACCGACGTGCTTTTATTGCGGCGGAGCCGTGCGGGGAGGCATCGAGCCATACGTATCTTGTTCTTTTTCCTTCGGCGGGCCGCGTGCTTCGGTCCTCTCCTTGCCACACTGCGTTTCATTTTACGATGGACTGCGCTGGACATTACGAGCCGTCTAACCCAATCCAGTGCCGTATGGGTGTCGCGCGTCCTTCCGAACGCGTGGTCACGTGGATCATTCGCAGCGTTCGATTGGTTGGGATGGTATGGTGCGGTCCATCGTCGAGTGAAACGGAGTATCCTCCAGCTTTACTGCTTTTCTGGCGTCCGATGATCAGCATAAACCGCACCGAGAGCTCGGCTTTTTCTATCGAGTCCGCGAGATGGGAATAGGGATAGTGCGCGCATCGCCGGCGGGTTTTATTCGCTGTGGACGTATTGTTCCTCGGCGTCTTAAATGCCGTCTGGGCTCCTTACGTTTTTCCAATAAGAGACTAATGCGTTTCAATGAACGTGATTGGGTGGGCTACGGGTGGGGACACGTCTGGCCGTGGCGCTGTCTACGGCGGAGGCAAAGCAAGATCGATTGGCGAGTCTCGTTTTGCGCGGCCGGTGGCCCGAAATAAGTAGTCTGCCGATTTGTAGTACCGTAGCCATAATTAGAGACACACCGCACTGCGGATTGAAGGCGTTATTAACTGCACGAACGGTAGTGCATTTGCACGAGGAAAGGGAGGGGAGTAAGGGCGGTTGAAACTGCGGTGCGGGTCGCGATTATTTCCGGTTTGATGCGTTGCTCGTACTTCCTGGTTTTACCTATTTCACCCGAGAGGCATGGCCACTCGGTCTCCCTGGAATTTGCAGCTAGAAACTTTTTCTAGGAGCTTTGTTGTTTGTCTACTCGTTAACTAATGGCTGTCGTTATGTGGTTCGGGAGTCAGACTTTCGAACTTTCGCACTGTCGTTGGTCTAGAAGCCGGAGGCGACACCTTGAGGGTTATCTTTACGCACGAACACATACAGCCAAAAACTAAAACGGAATTTTCGTAAAATCGAGAAGTACCCTTCCCTTGCCATGTCAGACAGCGGGGTGTGGGCCCACACTCTCGATTGTCTCCGAGTATTTGGAATGGAATTGAAGCGTCCCTACTGTGACGTCCACCAGGAAGAGAAAGAGGGCGAGAGAGAGGGTTCTCCTCGTCGCCGTGTTTCCATCGCCTCATCTTTCTGTTCTCTGCCCTCCTCCTCTGCCCAGCGCGTGTCTGAATCGTCCCGTGGTGGCTGGCACTGCATTAACCCACATCTGAGCGTCATTACGGGACGGGGAAAAAAGGCACCACCCGGTGGAGAGGAGGTCGCCGAGAGAATCGGTCTCTTTGATAGTCTCTCTCTCTCGCTGAGCCGTCTTATATCCGCCTGTTGGGAGTCGGCGTTGTTTGCAGGAAGAATGGGAGAGGACAGGGCGCGCGCTCTTCTCGTTCGTTACGAAGATGGCGTTCTCCTCCTCGTCGCCGCGTTTCCACCGCCGCCTCGTCGTCTTCTTTCTGTTCTCGTCGTGGTCATCGTCTCCCGGCTCTTTTGTGTCGCGTTTCCGGCGCTTAGGCTTTCTTCTCTGCGACCCCTTTTAATATTTTTATTCCTCAACTCTTCTCATCCCATTCTTCTTTTAATATAACCTTTGCAGAGCTTTTGTCGGTCGCGTTTCTTTCGCTCGATCCGAACGTCATCTTCGTCAGTTCTTTTTCAGCTGACCACTTTCTTAGTCCGTCTATTTGCACCACTAAAAACTTTTCTTTGTTTCCATTCCTTTTTTTCTTTTTTGTACTCACCCTACGGCCGGGTCTCTGCTTACATTTGCTCGTTCAGGATGAGAGGAACCTGCCTCGTAGATCGAGCAGTCTGCGCAACGGCCCGTTTCGGTCCTTCAGGAAACGAGGCGCGTCTTTTACGTGCCGTGAAAATAAATAAATAAATAAAAGAAGGTCCGGTGCCGCGCGACGTCTTTCCTAGAGCGGACGAAGTGCCTTGCCAACACCGGCTGAGCGACTTGGAATTGTCGCTCCTGCACAGGGTTGTGAAGGTTGCTCTTTGGACCTGCGTAGGAAAGCACCCAAAGAGAAAGATACGACAAGTCGAAGAAAAATAAGGCGCGTTTTATACGTATCGATGCACAGCATCTGGCTCGACCATCCCCTCTGTCGCAGTTCGTTCCTCTTGGAGGGTAAATCTCACCGCTACTCCAGCTGAC